TCAAACACTGAAAATCATGATGCTCTATTCTGTGAACAGCCAAAGCTAATCTCTTTACTTCAGTGCTACAGCAAAAAACACACAGAATTCACTCTTTGCTATTCACTATCATCACAAGCCTCATTGTTCCATCTCTGCCCTCCCCCCATATACAAGCCTTATAAGTCCTAGCCTTTTCCCATATAATCCTATTCCTATAGCACAAAGGGAAACATTACAATTTGGAAATTCAAATTGAAATAAGTGGAATAGAATTTATTCCCATATATATTCCCCATTTCATTGTACAGAATTATTTTAAATTATAGTTTTAAATAGAAGCTGAGTATATGCCTTAAAAATGAGCATTAAATCCATCTTAGAGATGGTGTCTGCTTTTTACATGATGGGTGTACACCATCTTTAATTTCATTTACATTTCAATCGAACAATAGATTTGAAAAGAAAATGTCTAATACAGACGTAAAAATATTCACACTAGAGCTTCACAACCGGTTGTACAATTGACAAACAGGTCTCTTTTCCCAAACTTTCCAGCTAAGCAAATTTATAAAATGTAATCAACGCAACAAGAAAAACATTTCTCTTTCAATTCCAGGGAAAAGAATATGCAATAAACAGTATAAATGCAGACAGCAGTTGCTGCAAGCTAACCACGATACTCCCAAGTGGCTGTACAGTGGGTATGTGCAGTACAAATAAAAGCCACATGTGTTGTATCACAACTACAGTATAATTGTTTGCCCAGCTAAGAGAATGCATGCACTTCCATGCCTTGGGTTATAAAGTGAGGCCTAATTCTTGAAAGGTTGATGGAATATGTGCAAATGACCTTGGCTTTTGGCAGTACTAAGTGCAGCCAGTGTCTATGTTCCACTGGTTTGGGATGTTTTTAAAGTTTTTATTAAAAACAAAACAAACAAAAACTGCCAATTTCAGACTTGGGTAAATAACAGCTCTTGGAGTGAAAACAGGACTATGCTCAAATGTGGGAAGTTCTGGTCTGTGGCTTTTACTCCTTGTATTTCCTTGCCAGCAAAGAGATACAAAGAAACAGCTAGTGTAAAGGAGTTAACTAACAAATTTATTCAATAAGCAGAAAATGGGATACTCCTTGAGCATATTCATTTGTGTTCTGCTTTGCAGAAGGGGTCCCTATGTAGGAGCTACAGTTAGTGATCCCATCAATACTCTTCATTCACTAAATCACAAGAAAAGTTCTTCCAAGAAACATACATAGTTGCAATGCAACTTTTCCTTTTAATGATTAGTTACCAATAATGGTGACACAGTCTGCTCTTAAGAAGCTAGGGAAGAAATACTCAGATTCAATATTTGAAATTAACATGCTGAATCTGATCTTTTTAAATTCTACCCCTGTTAACAAGACACCATAAATTTTAACACCTAAAATACAAAAAGATGATTTTTAAAACAATTTTTTCCAAATGTTTAAATGATACCATTTTCAATTCCTACAAATTGATATGCATCCTGTAATTTTCTCAAGGCTACATATAAAATCCGAATGGGTTTTATATACTTAGCATCAACTTGAAATTTGAGTGAACTATATCCATATAACTGGAAATTTTCAGTTCTAGTACTTGAGATTTCTTTTATTAGTCTCTTACTATAATAAAGAGGTACTAGGACAATAATGTGTCAACCCTGATGAACCACCTTCTCTTGAAAATTACAATGCACAACTTTCATGCACAACACTGGTTCATCATACAGCGTTAAAATTTAAGCCATGGCATAAAAGGCAAAGGAATCTGGTACCAAATGGAAGAAATAATATGTGTAATTTTCTCAGAACTTACAGACTGAAATGAGATCTTTAAAGAGAACAACTGATGCTAAGTCCATAGTATCTGAATAAGGAGAATGAGGAACATGGACTTCAAAATGGGACTCAGAAACTGAAAAACAAAACAAAAAATGAAAGAAAAAAAGCACCACTTTTCCCTGCCCTCTAGGCTGCAGCCTACTTTTTCCTAATGATCATAGGAAATGCATACACATTAGTTACCAACATTGCAAACTTTTGTTGTTTATATACTTTTAATTACAAACATAATATATATATCACAACATGTTGGTAAAAGAGTCAAATTATAGGAAATGTCTCCTAATTAAAAAAGTCACATTTTAGGTCTGATTTGTCACTTTTTCCTCTATGACATCAGTGGGTAACTCTTTTGAAGAAAAATCAGGTAAACTATGTGTCCTTCTAAAATGACAGAGAACCAATGTATTTACTTCACTTTCAACACACTGTGACAAACCAGAAGGTGGCCACTATATATAAAAAGAATACAATACAGAACAATTGCAACACAGAAGCAGTTCCTATGTTGTCAGTGAGAATGAGTGAGTTTTTAACAGGGAGGTATTGTTTTATGGGATCACCTGCTGCAAGACAAGCAATATTTTAATATAAATGTTTTGAGACTTACCAACGAGGTTGGCAGGTATATACATATACTGATACAAATGTAATTTCACTGGACAAGTAGGCAAACACCTAAGCAGTTTATCTCAAACCCCCTCTAGCAGAGCACAGCCAAGTTTCAAATTTTCAATTTTAAAATTAAAAAGATAGGTTAAATACACAAGATCAATTTATGTAGTATATATTCACCCTCAGAACGTGCTGAAGATGTTTTTTATGTAGTTCTGTTGCACAGAGGGTTCTTTCCCTGAGGGCACATAAGGAGCTCTCAAACTGTTAATAGGTCTCTATTTTGTAACAAAATAGCAATTTTAAAATCTTAAAAAAAAATACATTACCTTCAACATGGAAGATCTCACTATTAAACATCCATGAAACAGACATACCGGTTTGCATATCCTTTTTGGAATAACAAACAGCAAATAAAAGTACATTGGAAGCATTTCAAATGTAATAAGCACATATTTATAGAAATGTTCTGATATAAATTATATAACAATCATATTCTTGTAATATCTTATGCTAATTTATAATGTCATAAATAAGTTAATGTAACATGGTTTAAAACTCTTGTTCCTATTCATTTCAGGTTACAGAGTGAAATAAATAAAATGTCTTTGTAGGGATGGGGAGCACTGGCCATATCAAAAAGGTACAGACTAACCAAAGGAAACTAAAACTCAAGGCTACTGTGCCATTATGCTACAAAAAAAATGTTTATAAATCTGAGTCTTAAATAAATGTGTAAGATCTTCCATACTGACACAAGAATATCAAAACTACCCCCTCTATTACTCAGGTATATTTACAACTTATCAGTCACCTTATGAGCATGTTCTTTAAGACAGGTATCAAACACCAGTTATTTACTCATTCTGATCAAGAAATTTCAGGGAAATGTCAACCCTCCCGCCCCTGGAAATGTGCACAAAACTTTTTATCAAAACCTTATCTGATACAATGCTGTGGTTTTGTAAGACAACTAAATAGCTCAGACGACCAATAACATGATCCTGTTGAAGCATCTTGCTAGCAGGAAAAGCCCTTACATACAGTACACCTGGTGAAAGATCAGCTTGGCTTAAAATATTCCAGTACAATTTTCAGAGTAAACAACTTCACAGAAGTTAATTTCAAAATAATAATAATAACAATAATAAAAGACAAACTAATTTCAAAGGAATGGGGGGAAAACAAAAGACATACTAGGTAAGATCACTAGAAAGGAATGCCCAGCTTTTGTTTTAAAAATGCTGACTGAAATTCATGCTTCAATACCTCCCACAAATCTTGGGCATGACTGATTGATATACTGCATACTTTCAGATGCCAAGTTAAAACAATTTCAGTCACATTTTAGGAGGACAGAAATTATTCATGTTTTAAGTATGAATAAAGGTTAGCCAATGTTCTATCATTACATGGTTCATAGTCTTCTCAAACTGACAGTCATAAAACAGGCAACATTAAACCTGAACATGAAGTAACAATAAACAATATTTAACTAAGATAATGCAATGAGCATTCAAATCAATTAGTTCAAATAAAAAAAACTAGCAATACCATCTTGTTAAGTCAGTGCAAACGCTACATACAGGGTTTTCTCAAGAAAGCTGAAAGCACCTGATTCTTTTTGCCAAGTCATCTGAATCAGCAATGTACAGGCTTAAATCTGCATTTAAAAAACTGCCATTACATTAGTGCATAATTTATCAAAATTGTAAAAACGATTCTGCATAACTTAGGAGAATTTAATATCTAGTACATCAGCTGAAAGACTTAGGCACTTGGTTATATTTTTAATTACTTCAACAAGTAGCCTGTGTATAAATATTAATAGTAATAAAGCAGAAACTATTCTTGAAAAATGGAAAATTAAAAAAAATTTAAATGCTACAGATAAAAGCACTGCACCACACTCCTACATATAATGCAGTAAAGAAAGCTAGTGTAGTAACCCTGTAAAATTCTATGGTAATAGTGCCTAATTCCACTCTCCAACGTTTCCAAATAAACAAAACAAAAACACAACAAAGAAAATCCATGCAAAGTCCCATGACAAAAGTTAAATAAAGCAGCTGGAATGAGATGGAAATTTCTCTCAGTGAAACATAAAATAGAAATAAATAAGTTAATTAAGTCTACTTTCACTAGATGTATCATTGTAGGATCCTGCTAGTTTAATAACTGAGTTGTTAATTTTCTATAGAAGCCATTTAAATAGGAAATGGCTCAGTTACTGCACCGGATTGCTACAAACTCATAAAAAGCTGCTTGAAGCTTAAGTTAAATGCTGTCCAAATTCCAATCACTTCTGGAAAGTGAACATGTTACCCTAGTAAAGTAAATTTTTTTTTTTTTTTTCTTTTCAGAATGCTAATGCAAGAGGGCTTGAAGTATCAAAGAGTCCACAGGAAATGGATGCCCCAGTAATATCTTTTTTTTAAAAAAAATATACATTATATAATATATATTATATATATAAAAAGCTAGTGTAAATGCTTCCATGGTGTGGTCACAAATTTGAAAGATGAACCTTCTTTTAGCTGTTAACCATCTTCCCATTTGCAACAGATTTTAAAAAGTCATTTTTATCCTCAGACATAACATGAGTTTTCAGGATGAGGTTGCCAACACTGGCAGATGTGGTGATGGGGAGGCAACTTGCATTGCTAATGGACACTGGAAGTGGCTGGCTGAAGCAAGAAGTTACCGGCAGAATTATTTTTTGCTCCTCCCTTAAAAAAACAAATGACAATGAAAACAATTAGCTTTAAGTGAAACAACTCTTAAGAATAGTCATACATGTTTAATAAGTTGTATCAAAAATTCAGAGCCCATAGCAAAGGTATGTCTTTTTTCACTAAAAAGCTTAACAGGTTACTAAAACCATCCCATTTTCCAAAAAACCATAAAAATCAAGATACTGGTTAGTTGAAGGCCATGCAAACTATAAAGTTCAAAATGAACCTCACATGATAGGAAAGTGGCACCAAATATGGATGTCGTAAGCAAAGCACAACCAGAGTAAAAACAAGTGTTTGAGTACATATGGATGAGTACAGGCATGTGATATACAAGTAGATACATGTGTACACACACGTGAGAACAGACAGAAGTATCTATAGATAAGTGTAAATTAAAAACATGTGGGTGTAGACCCATACAGTCATTGAAGACACAAATACAGATACTCCTCAGATATAAGCAAACAACTTACAAGACTAGTTTTCTGGGTTTGAAAGCTTAGGAGTACGGTGCCATGGGACAACTCAGTCATCTAGCATAGCATAGTTCAGAAAACTCATGATTTGCATCCCAGTGAAGTGAGTAGCATCTGGGGACTTAAAAGCTTTCCAGCAGCCATCTAAAACACAACTATGGATGGGTCTCTATTCATCAGGAGCAAAACAGTACGAAGGGAACCAAAAGTTCAGAGACGAACAAGTCTACATGACCTATATATAACCTAAGACCAAAAGAACTAGATGATTTCTGTCTATCACTGTTCTGAGTGGAGCCACAATAGATGGTTCCAGATAGAATGGCAGAAAAATGTGAAGAACTAAAATTCTTAAAAAAGAAAAGAGACAAACTGGAAAAGTAAAGAACAGAAGACACCCTTAGAACAGAAGACACTCTTTAAAACCATACTTCCAGCCTATACCTTGAGATCACCATTCAGTGAAATAACATAGTGACACACAAGATTAAGGACTCATGTGGCTCTATAGGATCAGTACTGGATTGTGAACCACAAGGTCTGCAGTTCAAACCCACCAGCTTCTTCTAGGAAACTATGAGTTGGAATCGACTCGATAGCATTAACAATAACTACAACCCTTCATATTGATGCTATAGCTCATAAAACTAACTGTATGAGACCAAAGGATCAACAATTACTGAAAAACAAACATGAATATATGAGGGGTGCAGGGAAACTAGAGTACTGGAAACAGAACAAGCAGAGAATGTTGACAAACTGTGATCCATGTAACTTGTTACTAAACAATTTGTGTAGAAACTCTCTAATGGGAACCTAAAACCATGATTTTTAAAAAGGCAAACTCTTAACTTAGGTTTTAATTCTCCATTTTCTAGTCTAGAAGTTTGACTACCAGTTTGAAGAAATATAACCTGATGCTGGAGCACAAAGGTTTACTGTTATCCCAACAAAAAGCCAGTTTCAGAGAACTAAAATGGACTAGTTTATTAGTTTAATATTTACCTCTCCTTTACACATCAGCCAAATAATTGTTCTATTATATTCCTCTGATAGCAAACTAAAAAATGAAATTTAATATTCTGCATCTATTTCTCTTTAGTCATGCCCTACTGCATCTATTTCTCTTTAAATAGTCATGCCCTACACCCCACTGGTTATAAAATTTCTAACACTCACAGAATCACATGGTCTTCACCTAAACTCTGTCTCTTCTGCTCTAGTGGCTCCTTTGGGTGCTGCTGGACTGGATGCCCATTTTCCACTGCTGTTCCATTCAGCAACTGATCATTTTGAGAACTGATAGCAAGTTGTATGTCCAGGATCTCCTTCAGAAAATAAAATCTGTTAACTCTTCAGTATGAAAGTATTTTATACTTTCATTTCCAGTGGTACAAAATCTCCAAAATATAATTGTGGTACTTACTTCAATCTGTTCACCTTGTCCGTCAGGTTCATCTGTGTCAAGTGCTGAAAGCTCTAACTCAATATCCCTATCGGGCTTAGTATCTGTTGTATCTTCTGTATAATCATTCTGCAAATTACAAAAATAATGATCTTATACATGGGGACACTGGGATTTTCCTAAAAAAATTAAAATGAGTATCCCCAAAATTTAAAGAATTATTTAAGATATCTGAGATCAAAACCTCATTTTTCAGTCATACATCACAAAAAGGTACACTGAAAATCATTAAGTTACGGCATAAACGACAGTGCAACATTGCAAACATAATAAATATATGAAATGTGAAACTGAAAGTTTAGTTTCTTTACCTCTCCATTTCTTAATTCAATTTCTTTGCTTAGAAGATTTAAAGCAAGGTGACGACCTTCGTCCAGGGAATTCCACTTCTGTTGCATGGCAAGGGCATTGGCCTCTCTCTGAAGTAGTAATGAATTACTCTTGGCCTACAGAGGGAGAAAAGTAAAGTAAGCTTTCAACTATCATTCTGTTTTATAATAATTCAAATTTGAGTGACATTGAGCCTACCTGCTGAAGTTCAATGCTCAAAAGATCTCCAGTACTGGAATGTTTTCTATGACCAGATAAGTCAGTCACAATGAATCTATCCCTTTAGAGAGAAATATTTTTATTGTAATAAAAATGAAATTAAAACAGTAATTACTATATGTTTTACTTAATAAAAAAAACCCTTAAAAGTTTCCATCATTACTCCAATTGTAAAAATAAAGTGTTATATGAGGGAACTTCAAAGTTTGTAGAAAAATAATTTTTTAAAGTTTTTATTGTGACTTGAGTGAAAGTTTACAGGGCAGATCATCATTTTTATATTCAACAACTTACACACTTTCTGTTTCATTACAATGAATATAATCCCTTCCATATATCATCAGATAACACTAATTCTCTCTATTCACTTTAGTTTTTTTTTTTAAAAAACACTCAAGCATATATAGTAAGTTACATCACCAAAGGGCACATTCTGTAAGTCTGCCTCCAGGCCGCCAGCTCTTAGTCCCTCTCTTTCCATGAATTTAGAGTCCTCAGCTGCTCTCCATATCCCCTTCTCTGCCTCCATCTCTGGTGTCACTGCATCTTTGGATAAGGTCTCGCATTCCGTTTGTGCTCTTCTCCCTTGATGGTCCAAGGGTCCTCTGTTTCTGTACTGTAAGATTAACTATTCCCCCATCTTTGATACAAAACTTCTATCTTTACAATTTTGACAGTCGCAGTTAGTCATGATAACTATTACTCATTATTGAATCATAAGAATTTTATCCCCATCTCTTTTAACCAGACCCATGTAGACAAGATGAAAACTATTCAATGGCGACTCTTTCTTCCCCCACACACTATTAAACTCCCCCTTGAAAATTTGTAAGCCAGTCACTTCGTGCCTTTATCACCCCCTCATTTTAGGTAGTCAGTGTCTAAGTTTCCCATCCCTATCTACCCTGTATACAGATGGGATAGCACTGATTCTTGATGTGAAGACTCCTTCACTCTCTGTTGGTATTTAGTTACTAACTCCATGAGTATAGGTCAAATTCATCAAATTGTAGGAATTTACCCTCATTTCCTTTATGAAAAATTGTTTTTTTGTTATCTTCCTCTAGTCAAGTACTGATTATCAAGACATGGAGGTTAGGTCAAATGGTTACTATCTACAAGTCTGGGTGTTCTTGTGCATCTCCCCTTACTTCTTATCAGCTGGATGCTTCACTCTCAGCTCTAGCCCTCTGTGGCTATGTTCTTGTCCGTGGGCTCAGGTGTCCCCAGGTCTCACCACACTTTAGACCAACCAGCCCTTCCTCTTCTCTCTCTCATCTCCAGGTTAATGGGAGTCTATGGGCCGTGGGTGAACTCAGCCCATTTCTTCATTGCTGCCTTTCCTCTCTTCCACTCATCAGTAGACCAATGTGGTCGCTAGCAAGCTGACATGCCTGCTCATGTGTTCCCTTTCAGTTTCAGTCTTTAAGGGGGGTTTGTCCTGAAGAAACTTGATTGCTTGCCTTGATGGCTTCCCGGCAAACAGCTTGCTTATTATTGTAGTAGCCAGTCATACTGACATTTTTGTTTTGGGTTTTTCCTGACGATCTTTCTTTGAAGATGTATCTTCTGTCACTCTACCTGTTCCAGGCTGGTCTGCTTGTCATTTCTAGTAGGAATGTCCCATCTCAGAAGGTTCTGAATTGGGCTCAGGATCCATTATCTTTTCATTCCAGTTTTCCACAAACTTCTGAAAGCCCTGTCATACAGCTCAAACCAAACATAATTTATGAACAACTGGGGGTAGGATCTGTACTCTGTGGATATACACAAGTCTGGAAATACAGAGAGTCCTAAAGAACTAAAAGCAACATTACCGTTCAACATAGTGTGCTGAGGATGTAGCCTCACTGCCATATGAACTCCATCTTGAATCAACAGCATTAACATAAGGGACATAATCTATAGAAACGTAGAAAGAAACAATCACAAAAGTGAAAACTCAGTATGTAGATATGGATGTATAGTTTTCAAAAAAGATCTGCAGTTTATCCTGTTGTTGTATGATACCAATCAAACCATCTAACTCTGAGTTAACTGTGGTTGTTAAATAGAGGGGAAGTTTCATATCCCAGAGTGAGGATTAAAAAGGACACTGCCTAGATCTTATCAAGCTAGTTATTAGTTACAAGGATTACCTGATACGCTGATGGGCTTAGTTGCACTTCCTTGGGAAGCAGTGGCCTGGACAGGATCTGTGGTATGATAACCTGTACGCGAAGATCTGGAAATTGCACCCCATTTTGAGATGATAGGTCCATCACTAAAAGGAATTATTGGGTCTTCTTCTTTAGTCCTTCTCTGAGTTTCAAATAAATGTACTCTTCTCTTAACATCTCCACTGTCCAGGTCCTGCATAACCCAAAGAAAACCAATGAAAGACTTTGGAAACTTATTTCAACTAATTTTAAGTGCATTCTAGGAAAAGACATGTAATTAAGTTTTAACGTAAATTTAACACTAGACTCTTCATGTCAATGATAATATAACAACTATTTTAGACCTCCTATGGAGTCCTAGTGTGGCGCTATTGGTTAATGTGCCAGACTGCAAAGCCGTCTGAACTGCAAGGTTGGTGGTTCAAACTCACCAGCTGCTCCTCGGAAACCCTATACAGGGTCGCTATCGCACGGAACCGACTCAATGACACTTAATAACAACTTAAAATGGAATCCTGGTATGGTGCCTTAGGATAAGCACTCGACCTCAAGATAGGTTTGAACTGCAAGGCTGGCAGTTCACACTCATCAGCCACTCCTCAGAAACACTATACAGGGTCACTATGAGTCAGAACCAACTTGATGGCACTTAACAACATGCTCAAATAGGCACTGTGGGTTAATGTGCTGGACTGCAACGTTGGTTTGAACCACAGTGTCGGCAGTTCAAGCTCACCAGCCACTCCTTGGAAACCCTACACAGGGTTGTTAGGGGTTAGAACTGACTCAACGGCACTTAACAACATGCTGAAATACGGCGTGCTGGTATAGTGCTGTGAGTTAACATGCTGGACTGCAAAGTGGGTTTGAACCGCAAGGTCAGAGGTTCAAACTCATCAGCCACTTTTTGGAAACCCTATACAGGGTTGCTATGAGTTGGAACCAACTCGATAGCACTAAACAACAATATGCTCCATTAGTTCAAATACCAAATACATTATGACACATACCCAAATCTAACCTTGCTGCTTACACACAAGTTATAAATACCAGCAATATTAAAATGAAAGCATTGAATCACTTCCAAACTTGAGTCAACATGCATTATATTATTTCCCCCCAAAATCATACCATTAACACAGCATTTGAATTAGCAATTACATCTTTGGGCTCTGAATCGATGGCATTTATACAGGAGCCTATGGTGCCACAAGACCAAGGAGAATAATGAGAAAGATGATGATCTTCTTCGTATTTTGTACTACTCACACTTTCAGAAAACTAATTGGGGAAGAAAAAAGCACAACCAATTAGTAAGAATTTAAATTGACAAACTTGTTTAACTACTATACAAACTTGTCCCACTAAATAATTATGCTCTTAATAACTAATATAAAAAGTTGCCATAAGCAAAAAGTAATACACTAGTATTTATATTGTTTATTCATAGAAAATAGCATGCTTTTCTTTTTGCTTTGTCTTTTAAGTGCTTATGGAACCTGTGACTGCTACTATCAAACCAATTAATGTGTTTATACCATGCATCTAACATGGTATGGAGAAAGTTAAAATGGGGAAAAATGCTAAAGAAAACAATACACTATACACTACCATCCTAAAGGAGTTCAACGTTTTATTTTAGGAGTTTACAAGGAGTAAATAACAAAACATATGTGATATATCATGTAGCATTAAATATAGTACAAAAGAGAAGGCTCTGGTACTAGAAAGGGAAGTGAATAATTTTTAAAGGTATTCTGAGGAATGATTACTGTAAGACCAGAATACTATTAGTTGTAAGGATCATATCTAGTTAACTAACTATACAGATAAGCAAACTTAAGAACAAAAGGTTAAGTAACTTGTTTCAAGTCACAATGCTAGTCAATATTGGATCTGAGTCTTAATGATGCATTTTTTTCCTAAAGTCATAATACAAAAAGTGAAAACACTTTTTTTTCCCCTAAGTAAGACAAATAGTAACTTTGTCACTATTTCAAAATGTTTAGATACTCTGAAGAAGTCTAAATTTAGTGAGATACATTTGGACTTAGTTTAAAAGTCCTATAATCCATTTAAATACTTATGAATAAAATAAGTGTAGGATTATTTCAAAATAATCCAATGGGAAGAGGGGGTATAGATGAAACAGTACTAACCATGAACTGGTAATTGTAGAAACTAGATGATGAGTATTGGGGTTTATCTACATTTGTATGTTTGGAATTTTCATAGTGAAAAGATTTAATATTTACTTGTATTAGTACTTCTGGGAATGGGAAATGTGTAATAAACCAAGGGAAATTGTTTAAGAAAATATAATGGTTTGCTCTAAATATAACAATACTGAAAACATGAGTAGGAGAAAGAGAAACCATCCTTATACACAATTTTTTTTAATGCCAAGAACAAGAGCTATATAAACAACATGAATACTACAGTAGGCATTTCTGTACTTATTGTAAAGTAGGGAAGAAATGCTTCAGACAGACCACAGGTCTACTATTCATAGGGTGAACAATTTTGGGCAAAATTCTCTGGTAAGGTTCCTTACCTGTAAACAGGAATAATACGTGTGCCATAAAGTTTTTGAAAGAATTAAATAAAACAGTCTTATATAAATTTTTAGTATAGTGCCTGGCATGTGTACGTGCTCAATAAATGGTAGTTATATGAGAATGAGTCAAAAATTATATTAAAACACCTGTCCATGGCTGATGACAACATTGAGCATGCAGCACATGAAATGATTCGGTTGTATAGATGAGTGACAATAATTTGCAAATCAGGAATGGTTCTACCTATCAAATAACCCACGAGATTTGGGTTTCGAAAAGTTTGTGCGAGATGAGTACACGACAACAACTCACAGAAAAGCATAAGTAGAAGTGTCTGGACATCTGCAGACAAAATCTGGATCAATACTCAAAGGAAGATAAAAGTTTCTCTAAAAAAAAATGTTACTGGTGACAAAACATGGATTCATCACTATAATCCTGAGAATAAACAGCAGAGTATGAAACGAAAACATCCTCAATCACTGACCAAGAAAAAGTTCAAAAGTCAATTATCAGCTGGAAAACTGATGCTTAGTTTTCTGGGACTCTCAAGGGCCAGTATTGGAACTCTATTAGGAAAATGGCTCAACATTCAACAGTGCTCGTTACAGTGAGATGCTCACTGAAGAGATGAACTTCAAAGCTTAAATTTCTGATTAAAGACAGAAGACTGCTATCCAAAGGACATTGTGATCTTGCACAACAATACAAGTCCACACACTGCTGCCCACACGACACTCTGCAAAAACTTTGTTTCGAGTCATTAAAGTATCCTCCCTATAAGTCCTGATCTTGCTCCATTGGACTTTCACCTGTTTGGTCCCCTGAAAGCAGTCTTTCAAGGGTAAAGAATCGCTTCTGATGAATATTCTGACAAAAAATGTATTAGGCTGAGCTTCAACACACAGAGCATTCATGGCTTGAAGCTCAGCCTAATACATTTTTTAATAAGGGAATACAACAGCTTGTTCACAGATGGACAAGGTGTACTGAAACGCAAGGAGATTGTCAAAAAATGATGTATTTATCTCTTCCAAATGTAGATTAAAATAAATTCTACAGCCAGAGTGCAGATAATTTTTGACTCATCCTTGTAAATCTTAATAAAAACCATAAAAATTAAAAATAAATAAAAATGCTGGGAAATTTTTGCATTATCAGTGGAAAAAGACTATATATTAATGATCTTCATAGTCTCACAATACCTAGCCATAATACTTATACAGTGTTTACCAAGCTAAATGCACCTGTACACTAAACCACTGATACCTAGCTAGCATAACTACCCTAGCTTAAATGAGTGCTCGGCATTCGTTTATGATTTATCCTTGCAGTATCAAGTGATTAAAACCTTTCTTACATCAGTGCGAAAATCTACACTGAATAGAGGAGAAGGCGGTGTTGGTGATTGTGTAGCCACAGGAAGAGTTGAAGAGACAAGAGGTGTTTTCTGAGTGTGGTACTGTGCCCACTGCTCTGGCTTTCTTCTTATCTGCTCCTCGTAACTGGTCTTCAAATGACCACAAGTTTCCTAAGGACGGAGATAAAAGAAACAATCTTAATCATCTAGGGAGTGATGAACAAATTTAGTTATCCTTTGTGGAAATAACAAACAAAAAAAAGTATTATATTTTTGAGACCAAAAAAAAAAAGCAAGGACGTTACCCCAGCCTATATTATTCACACTCTTTAAATAACAAAAAAGTTCATATTTATTCACTTTTCTGGTTTAGGAAGGGCATTTATAAATTCGGGAATACTGAAAAGGGGCCTTGTGCTTTTATTTTGAAGATCTCTTTCTGCCTTCCTGTTAACTTCATATCCAAATATAACATTTCTTGAGCATTAATATATATCAGATCTAGTTCTAAGAGCTTTGTTTTTTTCTGATTTAATCCTTACGGAAACTTTATGAGGTAGGCACTGTTTTTATTTCCATTAAACAGATGAAAAGAGCCGAGGTCAAGCAACTTTCCTAAGTTACAGAATTAGTAAGTGAAAGAGCCAAGATATATATATATACTTTGATGACTTAATTCCAAAGATGGTGCTCTTAATAGCATTCTCAGTACCATCATCACTTACCCTTGGTAAAGGCACAGTAGTCCTTGGCTCACTTGGTTGCTGACAAGCCACTGAATAATACCCATCTAATGAGTTATACCTTTCCCGTAAAGGTGTCTGATAGACAGACGAGTGCATCACATCCATTGGAGGTAACGAATTGCTTCTAATAATGTCATCTCGTTGGTACATAGGTGGGCGCCAGATGCGCCTGCTGTCATACACAGGAGCATACATTCCAGAAGGTACTGGAGGAACTGGTCCATACGGCTGTGGAGGAGGTTGGTAAGGAGAAGAATTCATTCGATCTCGAGGGGAAAATGTACTATAATGATCAACATATGGCACAGAAGCAGGTGGGAGGGAGGACTCTGGAACATTATTGGACCTCACAAAGCGAGGAACACAGGGAGCCACACCAGCTGGTACCGTTGGAGGTGGTGGGTAGTATCCTTGAAAATTAGAAAGAGTAATATTTAATGAGATTTTAGTAAAATTCAATGTTTTTAAATGACTTACATCTAACACAATCTAATGTGGAAAAATTAAATAAGCTTTGAACTTTAGTTACCCTACTTTTTAAGGAAGCTATATATATTCAAGATACCATCACATAAAAATGTTTAGCATCTTGTTAAATTACTTGGTATCCTGTTAAATTATTACTTAAAAGTGCATGACAGAGCTATTAACAGACGGCACATATTGCTACAGGTTTTGGATTAAGTATTTAGTTAGGATCCTTGTTGTTTTTTAAAAATACTTTATTATTTTTGTTGTTGAAAATATACACAGCAAAACAAAAATCAATTCAGCAGTATCTACAGATACAATTCAGTAACACTGATCCCCTTCTTCAAGTAGTACAATTGTTCTCACCCTCCTTTTCCAAAATTAACATAAACTCACTGCCCTCTAAACTTCCTATCTAACTTTCTGAGTTACAGTTGTCAATTTCATTTCATAAAGTGCCCAGCTACTATTACTGAACATTTTGATTAAAGATTCTACAAAAAAATCCTAAGCAAAAGGGGGGAAACATGGAACAAATTTTCAAGGAATTCATTTTTTCTGAAGCCACTGAGGCTAGATAAACATCTACTATTATTGCTTTGAGATTAATCTTTAAACCTGAACTTTAAATCAAAACTATTCCCTGAAGTTTACATAGTAAAGAATGTCTGTCTTGAGCATTATGCTCTTAAAGACTTATCTGTATTGGATCCAATTAACCACAAATCATTGGCTCTTAACCTTCTGGGGGTAAGAAGTTAAAGACCTCTTTCAAAATGTATATAAACTGAACAATGTATTTTCAAAATGTATATAAGCATATATAAACAAAACATTTTCAAGCAATTTACAAACTGCCTGAAGCTTATTTATTGATCCTTTAAAGCAACCTTAAAACTATTGATTGGTATCTAGAATCACAGACTTATATTTAGGTAGTCCATGGGATTGATTTTTTAATACAGACTTTCTTAGATAAATTAATCCATTTACCTATGAGTAACAAATGATTAAAATAAAGATTTATTTTTTCTTAGAATTATCTTAAATTACTTACCTGTCTGTGGGTACTGAGGGACTTCAAAGGGTATCTGGGTCCTTGGATCTTGAAAATACTGAATGTTTTCAGAATGCTGAGGATATAGTGGTACTCTAGTTATAAATGGGCTGGATTTTGGAGGCACAGAATTCAGCTCTGTTCCAACATTTGGGGGCCCAGCTGAGGTAGCTGCTACATTACTTACAGGAGTCTTGGGTGGAGAACCAATTTTACTGAGGAGAGAATTTAACAAAGAGAGATAAATCACTCTCTCTGCTGGATAAGCCTTCCTCAGTAGGAATATTTCATAAAATTTTATAGAAAAACCATTTATAGAAAACACTTTAAATAAGGCAATGAATTTCACTGCCACCTTACAACGAATGTTTAATTCAAAGGATCACAGTATCAGATCTCGTTTTCTGGTGAGGGTAATAGGCAATGCAAATTAATCCTACACACCAATGGGACCCTAAGTCCCTTCATATTCCTTCTTTAAATAGTTTACCTACTGAAAATTTCAAAAACTTTCCTATTCAGTTGATTCTCAACAGAAACAACATAGTCTGCCAATAGACTTCTTAGGGACAAAGAAGATAGATATGGAAAGAACTGTTCTATTAAGAGTTAAATTAGCTGAAATGTACACTTTCCAAAGAAAGGCCATGTTTATATGTTTCCTTAACCATTATATTCCCAGCGGAGTCTTGGTGTGGCATTGTGGGTTAATGCGCCAGACTGCAAAGCCATTTGAACTGCAAGGTTGGTGGTTCAAGTTCACCAGCTGCTCCTTGGAAACCCTATACAGGGTCGCTATGGGTTGGGAGTTGACTTGACGGCACTTAACAACAATATATTCCCAGCATCTACAACTGTTCCCAGCATACAGCAGGTAGTGTTAAGTGCTGTCGAGTTGGTTCTGATTCACGGCAACCCTGTATAGGGTTTCTGAGGTTTGACTGGTGAAGAATTTGAACCGCTGACCTTGCAATTCAAACCGACCTGTGGATCCAGTGCTTATCCTACAGAGCCATGTGCTGTCAAGTTGGTTCAAACTCAAGACTCTGCATAGGGTTTTCAATATTTGTAAATCTTTGCAGGAGCAGAAAGCCTCATCTTTCTCCTGTGGAGCAGCTGGTGGACTCGAACCATGGACCTTCAACTGTGCATATCCTACAGAGTAGTGTAGTGCTTATCCTACAGAGACACAGTGCTCCCCAGTAGGCAGACAGGCATTCAGTAAAATTCACTGGTTGAATTTGAAATAGTGGTACCTGATAATTTAATTGATGCAAAATATATATATATTTTTTTTCTTGGTCACATTCACCTTTTTTTAATTAACATACAAAAGGATTCTCTTTATTGAGCCACCTAATTAATCATCTGAGTTTTTTAATTTACTTTAAAGAAGCCAATTTGGGTGAGCTTTAGATTTGTGATTAAAGAAAATGATCTTGTTAGTGACAGATTTCAATACCTTATATTCCAGTCAAATTACATTTTTATTCCAAACGACAGAAACTTTTTTAAAGCTGGAATATAAACCAACAAAGAGAATGTGATGCCTATAAATTTAGTCTAACAGATTAATTTAGCAACTGTTTTAGTTTTATGTGCAAGTTCGTATTAAAATATAGAAATTAACAAAGTATCTATGAGGAACATTAGTACAAATGTATTGGCTTAAAGTTTAAAGACATTTTAGGGTTTTGATTATCCTTTGAAGTTAAAAGCAGTAAGAAAAATTATTAGGATTTCCTTAGAACAATAACTAACATTTTAGCTGCTCCTTGGAAGCCCTATGAGTTGGTCACTGAGTTGGAACCCACTCAACGACACTTAACTGAGCAGCTACCACATTCAAGGCATTATGCTACGAACCTTATATAGATTGTCTTGTCCCTCTGTCAAAATGTATGTACCATAAAATTTGGATTAGTAGTACTTTGAAATAAAAAATTCTTAAAATTATCAGGAAAAAGGCAACAAAATCCATGAGAAGGTAAACATTCATCTCCACAAAAAAATCAAGTCAGCTATTCCACACTTTCAGACATAAAGGAAAAAGCTCATTTCTAGTCACACAGTAGACAGTTGACTAGGTTATTTCAAATATTTCCTAGATGAATTTTGGGATACTAAGTGCTCCTTTAATACAGCCCGCGTTCCTACCTGCATGCCTATGCTGGGGCTGTTTTCCTCTATTTGGAAGCACATTCCTTTCTTACTAAATAAATTTCTAGAACTAACTCAGGTGTTATCGTCTCATCTCTAAGAAACCTTGGAGCACAACTGCATTACAGTAACTTTTTGAGTATATTAACAAACATATTATTTGTTAATACACTCAACTAGACTAGAAGATCTTTAGAGTCAAGGACTATAGTTGATTTCTATTAGCTATACCAATTAGAGTACTGCCTGATTCATTGTATGTGATATATAATTTTTGAATGAACAAATAAATTCTATGTTCAGTTGTTTTTTTTAAGTTTTCCTCCTAGGACAATCATATTTTTAAAAAATTGAGATATAAATCACATGCCATAAATTTTACCCTTCTAAAGTATACAACTCAGGGGATTTTAGGCATATTCACAAGGTTGTGCAACCAAAATCACTATCTAGTTCCAGAATATTTTAATGATCCCAGGAGTAAAAAAAAAAAAAGTATCTATTAGTATTCACTACCCACTTCATCGACCCCTTGTGGCAACTACTTCCTGTCTCTATAGAATTTTTTATCCGAACTCTGGTTACATTAAAACATCTGTCCATGTCCGATGACAACAATGAATATACAGATGAAATGATTCTGTCGAGTAGAAAAGTGAGTGGATTATGTGGCAAATGATTTGCAAATTAGTCACAGCTATGACTGAAATAATCCACGACAGATTTGGGTTTTGAAAAATTTGTGCAAGATGGGTACCAAAACAACTAACAGAAGATCATAAGCAAGTGTTTGAAAATCTGCAGACAAACTTTGGATCAATACTCAAAGGAAGATAAAAGTTTCTAAAAAAAATCATTACTGGTGTCGAGACATGGATTCATCACTATAATCCTGACAGTAAACAGCTGAGTATGGAACAAAAACAAACTCAATCGCTGACCAAGAATAAGTTCAAAAGTCAATTATCAGCTGGAAAATTGATGCTTACAGTTTTCTGGGATTCTCAAGAGCCAGTATTGGAACATTATCAGGAAAAAGGTTCAACATTCAACAGTTCTTGTTACAGTGAGATGCTTACTGAAGAGCTGAACTTTGAAGCTTGGAGTTTGGATTAAAAGCAGAGGATTGCTATCTAAGGGTGAGCTTACATGACAATGCACGTCTGCACACCTCAGCCCACACTGTTGACACTGCAAAACCTATGTTTTGAGGTGTAAAGCATCCTCCCTATAGTCTCAATCTTGCGCCACTGGACTTTCACCTGTTTGGTCCCCTAAAAGCAGCCCTTCAAGGACAAAGATTCACTTCTGATGAAGAAGTGAAGGCGAAGCCAACAGAGCATTTATGGCTTGCAGCTCAGCCTAAAACTTTTTAAAATAAGGAAATACAAAAGCTTGTTTACAGATGGAAAAGGTGTTATTTGTCTTTTCTAAAAGTTGATTAAGAAAAATTCTATAGCCAGAGTGCGGATAACTTGTAGTCTTTTATGTGTGTCTTTTTTCACTTCTTTCACAATGTTTATAAAGTTCATCAGTACTGAAGCATAACAATATTTTATTCCTTTTTATTGCTAAATACTATTCCAGTTTATGTATATAAAACCATTTTTATATTAATTTACCAAAACCTTGGCAAAAGCTCAATTTCTAAAAATGTGTAACACAAGGTCTCCATAATCTGATGCCAACCAATATATCTAATTTTATACTGGTCCCTAATACAAACCTTCAGTTCTAAAATGTTGGTCTCTTCCATATTCCATATAATTCTTAGTAAACTTGATCTGGGTTTTGCTATTTCCTTTTCCGCTATCTTTTCCCATATTTCTCCCAGCAATATAAATTATCCTGTCTTTCAATACAATTTCTGTATTAATTTGTCTAAAAACTTTCTCCATAACTGCATCATAAATGCTTAAAAAGGCAGGTAACATCTTACACTTTTCTTGTAGTCCCTAGAGGCCCAAGAACAGAGCTCAGAAAGAATGCACAAATAATATGTTAACTAGACAACATTCTCTAATCTATCCTTTCTAAGGTCTTTTCTATGGAAGATCATAAGGATCCTTTAAGAAGCCACTGACCTCAACACATGCTTCCCATGATTTATTACATGAAATCACAGTGTACTGTGAGCCTAGCAAAATACTCTGGTCCTAATAGCTATAAAACAGACAACTGAGCAACAAAAACAGCATGCTCTGAGATTTACAATTCCAAAAAAATATCAAAGCCTGATATTTTAGAGTTGGAAGGAACACTTCATATCCTCTGGAAGTTTAATTGTTTCTAAAGCATCAAAACTTTTGCCAAATGGAAGTTGAATGCTGAAACACAGTAACAATAGTAAAGTAACAACAGCATTTACTGACAGCTTCCTAGATTCAATGCACACTCCATGCAATAATTTACTTAGTCCTCACAATCAACATATGAAAATTGATACAATTACTATTCTAATTGTATGGATGAATTAAAAGGAGGAAAGGAGGGGAACAGAGAGGTCAAACAAATGTACCAAGATCAAAAAGCTAGAAACCAAATCTGAACCCAGTGTTTGACTCCAAGGTTTCTCCAATGAAAAACTAGGCCTCAGTATAGAGCATAAATAAAACGGAATTGTTCTGAATGAAACTTGGGCTAGAGGCTCAGTATTTCTCAATTTAGATTCTTTAGTTCCTGTTCAGCAACCCCATGGAATCAATCCTAAAGTTTAAGAAATGTGGGGTGAGAAGAAGCCCTCACCTGGTCCAGCCCCTTCAATTTATAGTAGAAGAAAACAAAACCCATAGTTGAAGTGATTTTTCAAAGTCAAAGAACATGTTGCTGAGCAGGACAATAATTCAATTTTCATTATACTTAGTGCTTTTTCTAGTACATCAAACATTCATTCTACATTAAGAATTCTGCTTTTCTTCAGGTAAGTAAAAATATGCAGGGGTTATTTCTTAAAAGAATAAAGAACTCATATTAACCATTTTTACCAAATACCTACTTTTCAGTTACAGACTCTGCAGAGGGCCCAGCAGCATTCTGACCATTAGCTACAACTTTCCCCACTTTCTTCACAGTCTCCAGAGCTCTTAATGTACTGTCAGTACTACGTGGGATTAATGGAGAAACACTGTTTTCTGCATTTGCAACTCCATTTGTACTTGGAACAATTTTCCCGGTTGTTTCAGTACTTCCTATGACAGAAATGACATTTCCGGCTGTGGTTGTGACAGTGTTGTTTACACCAACTTTATTTAGAAGAGGAAATGTTCTTACAGTCGCGTTGATCTTTTTGTTCCTTAATCGATACCTGTTTCAATAACAATCAATATATCAGTAAATATTTTACTAAATCTTACTCTGAAAGGGGGGAAGAAAAAGCAATAGGAAAAGATTAAAAAGGTTGAAACAACTTTGACAGAAGTTTCTTCAGGTAAATATCAAATGTAGTCTAAATGAAACTATTGTTATAGAAGTCACATTATAATAATGTCATTCACATATATATAGCATATACCTATATGCAAAGCATTACTGTTAAGTGCCATCGAGTCGACTTGGACTCATAGCAACCCTGTATAGTGTCTTGGAGGAGCAGCTCACAGGGTCTGAATTACAAACCTTAAGGTTAGCAGTCTAGTGCTTATCATACAGTGTCAAACCAGGACTCCACGTATACATAGTGAAGTACACATACATTCAAAATATTCTTTTGAGTATGGGGAAGAATCCATTTGAAAATTTTACATAAGTTAAATATTAAAATGCCATGTAAAATTACAGTACCAAATTTTGTTGAAAACTTAGAATTAAGTATGTATGAGTTGAAAGCACTACCGGCTTTTATCAAATTGTGAAAGCATTACATAATTTTCAAGGAAAAAACAAACCACCACTCAAGCATAATGCTAAAATATAAAAATTTAGTATATTTCCGATTGTTGTTAGGTGCCGGTAAGTTGGTTCCAACCTGTAGTGGCTCTATGTATAACAGACCGAAAACACTGCCCAGTCCTGCACTATCCCCTCACAACTGCTGCTATGCTTAAGGCCATTGTTGCTTCCACTGTGCTGATCAACCTCCTTGGGGGATCTCCCTCTTCATCACTGTCCCTTTATTTTACTAAATATGATGTCCTTGTCCAGGGACTGGTCCTTCCTGATGGTATGTTCAAAATATGACAGACAAAGTCTGGTTATATTTCTTCCAATACATATTTTTTTTGTTCTTCTGGCAATCCATGGCATCTTTAATAGTCTTCTCCAGTCCATAACTCAAATGTATCAATTCTTCTACGATTTTCCTTATTCCAATATCAACATCCATACATCCATATGAGGCTATTGAAAATACTATGGCTTGGGTCAGGTGCACCTGAATCCTCAAACTGACATCTTTGCTCTTAAACACTCTAATGTGGTCTGGTGCAGCAGACTTGCCTAATGCATTATGTTGTTTGATTTCCTGACTGCTGCTTCCATGAGTATTGATAGTGGATCCAAGCAAAATGAAGTCTTTGACAATTTCTATCTTTTCTCCCTTTGTCATAATGTTACTTATTAGTCCAGTGGTGAGGATTTTTGTTTTCTTTACACTGAAGTGCAACCCATACTGAGTGTTGTGATCTTTGACCTTCATCAGAAGTATTTTAAGTCCTCTTTGTTTTCAGCAATCAATGTATCATCTGCATATTATAGGTTGCTAATGAGTCTTCCTCCAACCCTGATGCCACATTCTTAATATAATTCAGCTTCTCGGATTATTTGCTCAGCATACAGACTGAATAAAAAGGGTGAAAGAATACAGCTCTGGTGCACACCTTTCCTGATTTTAAACCATTTAGTGTCCCCCTTGTTCTGTTCAAATGACTGCCTCTTGGTCTATGAACAGGTTCCTCGTGAGCACAATTCAGATTAGCAAAAGGCATTCAGATTAAAGACTTTCCTATTATTAAGTTTTATTTTTGGTAACCAGATGAAAAACTCTTTAAGTTTTCTTGTAAGAACATGGGGACCAAAGAGCATGGAGGGGCCCAAAGATCCCTGTGCTTTCCTAAACGTGCTCTCTGAAATGTGCTTTTCAATCTTCACCTCAAGATGCTTAGTCACTCCTTTCTTTCCATCTTTGAAGGACTAAATTTCAAATAGTCTAAGTTTGTAAAAACACTTAACCAAACAAATAACAAGTTTGTGAATCTAGAAAAATAAAACTCAAAGAAAGGAATTATGAGAAGTAAAATCTTAACCAATGGAAGTCAAGTAAGTGACAAGTAGGGATACATGTAAGACAGCGAACATACTGGTAGCTAGAGGTACTTCCTACTCAGGTAGGAACATTTGAACTTAGCCTATGGATCTCACATTTGAAAAAGACAATCACTGCCTTTTTATTTTTTTCTCTTGTCTGCCTTTGTATTTTTTTCTCTTGTGCAGAAAATATACACACCAAAGCAGTTGCCAGTTACACTTCCACATTTACAATTTAATACTGATTACATTTTTCATACTGTACAACCATTGTTGCTATCCTTTTTCAAAATATTCCCCTATTAAAATGAAATCAAAGGCTCCCCTCCCCACAAACAAAACTTTATTTTTCTCCCTGCCTCCTACGCCTTGTAACCATTTTATATATATCTGCTTATTTCATATAAGTGAGATTATATAGTATTTATCCTTTTACAACTGACTTATTTTATTAAACATGTTTTCTAGGTTGATCCATGTTGTGTCATGCATCAGAACTTCATTTCTCTTTTTATAGCTGAAAAATATTCCACTGTATGTGCTGCTTAACATCCAAGATGTTGCTGTTGTTATGTGCCATGGAGTCGGTTCCAACCCACAGTGACACTGTACAAGGTTTCCGAGGCTGTAAATCTTTACCGGAGCAGAAAGCCTCATCTTTCTCCCACGGAGCAGCTAGTAGTTTCGAACTGCTGTCCCTGAGGTTTGCAGCCTGATTCGTAACCACTACTATACCAGAGCTCCTTAACATCAAAGATAGGTTCTGTGAAATAAGATGTTATGTGATTTGAATGTTCTGTAAACATACTATAAATAAAATATATATTTGATACACATACATCAAATTAAGTCCTATGCAAGCTACTCTGTCCTTATGTTAGCATCTGGAACCTCAGGTTTTGCAAACTTGCACCAGCAATTGGCTATCTCTGGGTATACAGTTGTGAGCAGCCCTGGAAAGTCTGATCAAAATAGGAAGCCCTGAAGGACTAAGAAGTGCTGCAGCTCAGTTTCTTAATGCAAGCACCAACCTGGTGGCTCGGCAGGGCACATGCCAGTGACAGACACAGGAGTCACAAGCCATGCCAGGGACTGCCAAAAGTGGTAACTGTGGGAGTCAGTCATGGCAGCCAAAACACTTCCTGGTTCCATTCCAAGTATCTCCCCGCCTGATGTTGCCAGAACGTAAACCACATTTTCTTTATTCATTTTTATTGTGATGGACATTTTGGATGCTTCCACCCTTCTGCTATTATTAAAGTGCTGCAAAGAGCATAAATGGACAGGTTTGTGTTCCTGCCTTCATTTCTTCTGGATATATACCTAGAACTGACAGAACAAACAACAAATCTGTGTTGGAAGCAGTCCAGCCAAAATGTTGCTTAGAAGCCAGAATGGTGAGACTTCTCTCATACTTCAGACACATTATCATGCTTACTGGAGAAGTACATCATGCTTAGTAAAGTGGAGGGTCAGTGAAAAAGAGGAAGATCACTAATGAGATGGATTAGCACAGTGGAAGGAGCAATGGGCTCACGTGCACAGGAACTGTGAGGATGGTGCAGGATTCAGCAGTGTTTCGTTCTGCTGTGCTTAGGGTTGCTATGAGTTGTAACTAAATCGATGGCACCTCACAACAACAAAGGTAATTCTATGGTTAACTTTTAGAGGAGCCATCTAACTATTCCATAACAGCTGTTACCATTATACATTCCTACAAGCAACAAATAAATATTAGAGTTTCTCCATAATTATGTCAACACTTGCTATTCTCTAAGATTCCTTCTTTGTTTTGGGTCATTGTTTTTGCTTTCCCTTATTGCCATTTAAATAGGGGTAAGGTAATATTTACTTCATTGTGTTTTTGATTTGCAACTCGCTAATAGTTAATGGGAGTTCTGGTGTGGCGCTGTGGGTTAATGCGCCAGACTACAAAGCCGTTTGAACTGCAAGGTCGGCGGGTCAAGCTCACCAGCTGCTCCTCAGAAACCCTATAAAGGGTCGCTGTGGGTCGGAATCAACTTGAAGGCACTTAACAACAACAAAAACAATAGTTAATGAGAACAAACAAATCTGTGTTGGACGAAGTACAGCCAGAATGTTCTTTAGAAGCAGGGATGGCTAGACTCCATCTTGCATACTTTAGACATAGTATCAAAGTAAAATACTGCATGGTTTAAAATCAGGAAAGTATACATCAAGATTATATCCTATCAACATACTTATGTATGTTGTTCTTGTTGTTAAGCACTGCCAAGTCGGTTCCGACCCACAGTGACGTTGTATAGGGTTTCCAAGAAGCAGCTGGTGAGCCTGAACTGTCAACCTTGCAGTTCAAGCCGACTTTGTAGTTCAGCGCGTTAACCCACATTGCCACACCAGATTTCAATCTGTATGTTAAGCAAATAATCTGAGAAGCTTGACTATATGAAGAAAATGTGGCTATCAGAATTGAAGAATCATAACAACCTATGATATGCACTTGACACAAGCATGCTTGCTGGAAACCAGGACTTGAAGTACATAGAAGAAAATCAAATACTAAGGCCTTCATTCAATATGGATTCCACCTCAACATACGGAAAACAAAATCCTCACAACTGTACCAATAAATAGCATCATGATGAATAGAAAAAAGAATGAGTTATCAAGAATTTCATTTTACATCAACACTCATGAAAGCAGCAGTTAGAAATGAAATGACATATGCCATTGGGCAAATTTGTGGCAAGACTCTTTAATGTGTTAAAAAGTAATGATGTCACTTTGAGGACTAAAGTGTGCATGACCCAAGTCATGGTCTTTATAATGGCCTTATAATGAGGTAAAAGCTGGACAAGGAGTAAGAACACCAAAGAATTGATACCTTTGAACTATAATGCTCGAGAAGAATACTGACTATACCAAGGACTACCAGAGGAACAGACAAATCTGTCTTATAAGAAGTAGTTGGAAATATGGTGAGGGAATATGTGTCATGTACTTTGGATATGCTGTCAGGAGGGACCTGTCCCTGGAGAAGGACATCATGACTGACAAAGTAAAGAGCCAGAGTAAAAGAGG